GATTGAAGATGTTGAGCAAGCAGATTACTGTTCCCAAATGGGGTTTAAAAGAGCCATTGAAGGAGGAAGAATCACCAATTCCAATGGCCAACAAGTTCCTTTAGCTGACGCCATTCTCATTCTTAGCTGCGAGAGCTTCAGTGCCAGATCTAGAGCTTGCTCTCCTCCCATCATAAAAGCATCACAAAAACAACAAAATGAAGAAAATGATCAACCCCAAGACATTGAACAAGAAAGTAGCCCTTGTTTGGGTTTGGATTTGAATATTTCCATTGATGAAGATGATGGAGCTGCACATCAATCAATTGATGATGTTGGCCTTCTTGATTCAGTTGATAGACGAATTATTTTTCAAATTCAACAACTATGAGACTAAAAAACATGTAAAAACAAGACAATTGGGGTAGATTGTTTTGCTTTTGTTAATTTTTTTCTATATATATATACATATTTTGTTTGTATATTGTTGGATGACACTCTCACAATAGAGTCCATAATTTTACACCATAAAATGTATGAGAGAAATTCATTTAAGTTGGATAATTTTTGTGTTATGAAGATAATAAAAGAAGGAATATAATTAAAGAGGGTTATGAAGAAATGGGATATTAAAAAGGTTATGATTAATTAGGGTTAATGGTTTGAATGGGAAGCTTATAATTTTGATAAGCATAAAGAAAAGGGGAACGTTGGGAATGCACAAAGTGAAGAAGATTAAGGTATGATCCATAACGTTAGGGTTGTCCAAAGGGGAACCAACTTTTTCAACTTTATAAGGGAAATATCAAAAGATAGCACTACTTTTCATGGTGTTCTTATAAAAATATTCCCTTTTTTTTTTTAAATTATCTCTTTGATTTCTGTAAACCCAACATTCTCATCTTTGGAAAGTTGGGTTGTAAAATTTAATTAATTTCAAACCCACATAGATAAGCATCTTCCTCCCTTAAAACCTTAAAGATGTTACCGCTTTAGAATCACCTTTAAAAAAAAAGAAAAACTAAAGAAGAGAAATTGTCGTTTGTGGCTTTTCAAAAAGATTAGGGTTAGGTCGAATAAATGCATTAAGTACCACACATCGGTGGGGCTCATGGCGTAGGATCACGCGTATGTTAGGGAGAGGTTTCCACACCCTTATAAAGAATACTTCGTTCTTCTCTCCAACCCAATGTGGAATCTCACAACCCACCTCCCTTTGGGACCTAGCGTTCTCGTTGGCACTCGTTATCTTTTTTAATCGATGTGGGACCCCCAATCCTCCTCCCATCAGGACTTAGTGTCTTTACTGGAACACCACCTCGTGTTCAACCCCTTCGAAGCTGAAGCCCTTCTCGTTGGCACATCACCTAATAGTATCAGCTCAATCGAGGTGGAATCTCATATAATTTGTGCAAATTACGATAACTATGGTTGATTAATTAGCGAGAGGCAATGAAATAAGACCTAATTAATAGCGTAAAGTGGGATTCCCCTTTTGGGTAAAGCAAACAGTGAGGTTCTCTTCTTTTGAGTGGTTGTGGGTAAGTGTTAATTCTTTCAACAATTTGGAGGGTTCAGCTTTTCCCAAAAGGAGCCTTCCCTAATGCTCTCTCAATCACCTTCACACATAATATACTCAAATTTCATGTCTTCTAAAACATTTGTTCTTACTTATTGATTTGATGGCTGCCCATTAATTATATAGCGGCACATGGATTGCATTTTTGAAGCAAATTATGATAAATTTAAACAAGCTCTATGGAGTAATGCATTTGGTCTTAGAAGGCAATTAGGACACAAAACCAGCTAAAAAGAATAGCCATTTTGATAGGTTATTGTTCACATCATCAAAGTAAAAAGGGCACCAGCAACAATGAAAACTTAAGCTACAAGCTTATTATTTTTTTTCGAGGAAAAAAGAACCCTAAACCCTAAATCCTAGGCACTCTTTAAGAATCGGGAAGAAAAGGATAGAAAGATTTAGAAAGACGGACGTTAGAAAAGACAAAAAGATTAAGCATGGAGACAAAGTTTGAACACAAGTCGGAGGTGTTTTGGGGACTTTAAGAAAAGAAGGTAAAGGGGAAGTAACTGGATGGATGGATGGATGGTTCTTTTTCACAGCGTCATTGTCTCTATTCCCTTTCCTTCCCTTTTATCGAATGTATTATTCCATTCATCAAAGTAAGGGATTATTCAATTGAATCAACGATCCAATAATTATACAAACAAATTCCTCCTTAAATTAATTATTTCAACTTTGAGTCATGGTTTCATTGGATTATGATTTGAAAGTGATGAAATTTGAAGGATCCAAGGAAAGAGGGGATTGGGAATTAGATTCTTCCCTGCTTTAGTTATTGGTCAAAAAGGGAGAAGCAAAAGAACAAACGAAGCTTGCTCATGCGACACCAATGTTGTCTTTGATTGGGTTTTTTAAGCACATTGTGTGGCTTTTGATGTCTGTTGGGTCCTTATCTTCAACCATACACTTGTTTCACACAAAATTACAAATACTTTCTACTCCAAGTGGCATTCATATGCAAATAATGTCCATAATTATAAGAATTTGTTCAAAAAGTCGTAATCTAACGGTTCAAGTCCACCACTAGTCTATATTGTCCGTTTTGGCCCATTACATATAGTAAAATGTCCTACTTTAGTCGGTGCGAGGACAGACTTTGATACTATTTGTAACAGCTAAAGTCTACTGCTAACTCTCTCACTATTTTGAAACGCGTCTTTATATGAAATGTTTCGTTAAATTAATAACCATAAAATTACCATCCCAATTGAATTGAATGGTTTAGGGTTTGGGCCACTTTGAGTTTTATAATTGAATAGGTCCATTCATGTGTTTTCAAGGTCTATGAGGGTTTTGGAAACAAATATATGGGCCAACCACCCTTTAATATTTGGGAGGTCCGCTCCATAACTACGTGGGCTCGCCGTAAATGAAATGACTCTCTTAGTTACACTGTGCCTTGATTGAATCCTCATGTTATCTCTTCTCCACCCGCAACTCAAGAAGTTGGCTTTGCCAACACAACATTAGGGTCGTTAAGATAATATTAGAATCTGTATTTCCAATTACCACACCAAACTCTTCTTTTCTTCTCTTTTTCGGTCGTAATTCTATGACATGGACGGCGGTTTGAACAAGATCGTCCCCGTACTCATCGCCCTCTTCCTACTCACTTTCCTACTTCTCATCGCTCAGATCCTCTACCTTCTCTCGCGACGGCGCCACCAACACGGCGCCGCCGATCCCAATGAAAAATGCTTCTACTTTTTCTGTTGGAGGAACCAATTGCGGATAGAACCAAAGGAAATCGCGTGCATTTCAAAAACCCACCATAATTTCGAAGCGGCGGCGGCGGCGGTGGTGGTGGAGGAGTGGCAGGAGCTGGGCGGACCGTCGAGAACGCTTTTCACTATCCAGGAAGAGGAGGAGAGTGAAGGAATCGAATCTTCGAGTACGATGTCGTTTCATACGCCCTGTGGTTCTCCTGCCTACTACTTCACCCCGTCGCCGTCATCGTCGCCTACTCGTGACGCCGGCAACTTTCCGGTGGATGGTGATTGTTGGGACCACAATCGAACGACGCCGTTTTTGGCTATTGAAATTAGCAGCCACTGATTACACACACTCTACGAGTAACACGAGCGATGATTCCGGCTTTCAACTCTCTTGGATGACATGGCGGTCCACCAATTGCATGACTTTTCTGCCACGTCAGCTACGCTCAGGAAGGAGTAGGACCCACACAACCGATGGGTTACTTTAATATTTTATCTTTTACTTTTTGCTCTTTTCTGGTTGGAGTAATCTGGTGCGGGTAGGTGTAGTGCAGGTGCACATTTTTTAAGGGAAGCTTTTTCCTCTGCCAGCGTGGCGGCTTACGTGCAAAACGTATGTTTGTGGGCCCCCAATAATACTTTGGCCCAAGACTTGGTATAAAATAATAATTATAGTTTATTGACAGTTTAATTTCTATTTAATATTGTTGATTGCTTTATTTTTGACGAATATAAGGTTGTTCCTATCAATGGTATTTATTTTTGTTGATATGTTCTATTGATTTACATTGATGTCGAATTAGGTTGATGAAATTTTTTGGATCAACCTAAGATCGTAGGTTGGTTGAGTTGGTGAATCGAAAAACCCAATAAAATTTACAATTAAATCCTCTAAAATCTCATAAAATTCAAATAGCAAACATTCATAAGTCACACTATGTCAGTGACATAGAGCTGTTAAGTAACTAAGTTTTTCTATGAGTGTGGAAACAAAACATTTCTTATAAGAGTGTGGGAACATCTCCTTAGTAGATGCGTTTTAAAATTTTGAGGCTAAAGTAGACAATATTAACTAACTCTAGGTTTGGGCTGTTACAAACAATATCAAAGCTAGACATTGGGTGGTATACTAGCAGAGGATGCTAGGCCCCCAAGGAAGGTAGATGGTGAGATTCCACATTGGTTGGAGAAGGGAACAAAATATAATTTATAAGGGTGTGAAAACTTCTCCCTAGTAGACATGTTTTAAAAAATGTGAAGCTAGCGGTGAGCTAGTTCTGGAAGGCGTATAATATTTAAAGCACTCGTTCACCTAGTAGACTCAAAACACTCCCTAAGGCCTAATCTCATAGCCCTTTTAAGTACCCAAGTGCTCGAATGTGTACTTAAACAATCATTCACACCGCACTCAAAGCACTCGAAATAATGTAAACCGCACAGCCTTCTAAGTTAATTAATTGCTGGAACGTGTACTTAAAAGTACTCATACACCCACCCTTACACTCAAACACACTCACTAAACGCCTAGCCTCTAATTATTTAAGTGGTTTGGAGTGTGTACTAATAACACTCACTCTTTCCCATTCACATATCTTCAAAAGTCTAAATATACCCTTCAAAATAATTTATTAAATTATAATTCTATAAGAATGACTTAATAAAAATTAATTATGTATATGTAGATTAAATGAAAGGGCCCGGGTCCAACACGCCTCTGGATGTGATGGATATTGTTAAAAATAATATTAGTTATGATATAAATATTGAAAGAATTATAAATTACATTATCACATTAGTGATTTTTGTTTGAAATTGATATATTTTGATATGAATATAGACATGGTCAAGAATATGACATCCAACTAACCAAATACAAAATCAAACCAAAACGGCACCGCTTGAGATGAATTTTAGGAATAGAGCTCAATAATCGACATGGCAGGCAATGATCTGAAACCAAGGAATGGATCTCCCATTAAAACTCAACGCAACCTTGAATCCACAGCTTACTTTAAGCTTTTCTCGAACGATTTTAAAAACCCCAAATTTCAACCTTGTGGAGAGCCGAAATTTGAGATCAATGGCGTAAGCGCCGGCAAGTTTTTCAGAATTGAACTCGGAGACCTTGTGGTTGGGGATTGGCACCAGGTGCTGGCCTTCAAATCTTGCTCTAATCAAGCTGGTGGCTTTTGGGCTTTGGTAGAAAGGGGTAAGAAACCTGGTGTCAAAGTTTTGATGTTTATACATCGCGGTTGCTTCGATGGTGTCGTAAAAGATTCCGACTTGGTCGTTGGGGTTTGTGAGAGTGAAGTAAAGAGCAAGGTTGTAATGGAGTTGGGTGTTGTTTGTGAAGTTGAATTGGGTGAGTGTGGCGTCTGTGACATAGAATTTGATCTTGTGGGTTATGAAAACGAGCCATAAGATGAAGATGGAGAACCCAAAGGTTGCACCAAGCGCCACAATAACGCAGATCAAGAGGCACCATAAGCTTGCCATTCTACAGGATTGATTTGGGATATTAGTTTGGAGGAGGAAGAAATAGGATTTGGAATGGAAGATATTGATATTTGTGTGTTGTTGATAAATCTTGGTTTTGGGTTGACTTTTTGGGACACCAGCTCATGGAGGAGATTAAAAACTCAATCCCAAGAGAAGACCAGCTCATTGAGGCCATTAAAAATTCAATCCCCACACAAGCTTTAGAACTTGATTTACTAATAAAATCTACATCTTTCAACTCAAATTAATGTCCAAAACTAGGGGCCTTTTTGTAGTGTGGAATTAAGGATATGTTGACATTTTGGGTAGGTGGACATCGTCATGTATCCCACAATGTGGAGAAATCTCCACCCCTTCGATGACGTGGTTGGTTAGGAATCATCGATCTCCACTATCATATGATATTGTCCACTTCGAGCATAAACTCTCCTAACTTTGTTTTAGGCTTTCCCCAAATGCATCCTACCATGAATTTCTTGCTTATAAACACATGATCATTCAGTGCACTACAAGATCTGATCTATTTTTTTGGTAGAGATAGGAAATTGAATTACAATGAAGGGGAGTGAGGATTGTTGAAAGTTCTACATCGGCTAATTTAGGGAATGATCATGAGTTTATATACAAAGAATAGTCTCATTGGCATGAGGCCTCATGGGAAAGCTCAAAGCAAAGTCATGAGAACTTATGTTCAAAGTGAACAATATATTACCATTGTGGAGAGTCGTGTTCCTAAATTGATATATTTTTTTGGATAAATTAATATAAGACGATATTCAAGTTCTCAATCATCTTTATTGTATTAAAAATAATCAAATTACAAAATAAGAATAAGAATAATAAATACCATAAAGCGACCAATGAATCAGAATTGGAAATCACAGGCAGTGTTGGGAAAGAAAACAAAAGAAAAAGACTTGGGAGCATTACTCAATGGAACCCTCAATCCACAGTGCACCTTGGGCTTTAATTTCAACACCACCTCACCGGACTTCATCCTTAACCGGAAAAAGAACTTGACATCAATCGGGTATTGCCCCTCAGCTTTCTCGGAGTTGAACTCAACAATTTCATCGCCAGCGAGAAGGATCAGGCGTTGACCCTCGAAGTTATTGGGGCTGAGGACGGCGGTGCTCTTGGTGTCTTGGAAGAACGCTGGCAGCGAGAGGCTGTTAAGCCTCCGGTTCTTATAAAGAACGACCATTTCGTTAGTATCGTAGTAAACTCGGTAGCGCTTGTTGGGGTTTGTGATGGTAACGTTAAGACCCAAGTTGTAATAGAGCTGATTGGCAGTGATGTTGAATTGGGTGAGTTTAGCGGAGGTCACATTGAACTCAAGCTTATGTGGACGGTACACAAGCCCTAATATCAGCAATACAATACCAACCCCCACGATGAACCCAATCGCCACCTTCAGAATGGTGCAAAGGACGCGCCGCCCGCGGTGTCTCTTGGACGAAGGAGGCACGGTGGGGCCGTAGAAGTTGGCGTTCAAATAGGGCTGTTTGTCGGCCATTGAGAAGGAGATTAGAGTGAACAATGGTAAAGCGAAGTGCATTTAGAATTAGATGATTTAGTTATATATAAGGAAGGAAGTTGGGGGATTCGGTAAGGAAAGCCCACAACTTGTTTTTTTTTTCATGAACAAATTTTAGGGTTTGATTCAACACGTGGGATATAGAAGAGTTGACATCATAATTTGGTCAAGTAATACTATATTGACTTTGAAAATATTGGGAAATCAAAATATGTCCACTTAAAAAGAGGAGAATAATGATATGTAACATGAACACGACTCTCTACAATGATATGATATTATCAATTTTGAACATAAATTCTCATGTCTTTGCTTTACGTTCTCCAAAATGTCTCGTATCATCAGAGATAGTATTCCTTAATTATAAACTCAGGATCATTTTTTAAATGAGTAGACGTGGAACTTTCATCATCCAACAATAACAACTTACCTTTAAAAAAATCGAAACGGAGAAGAACAAAAATGTCCACGGCAGCCATTGGAAGACGTTATATTCCAATTCCCAACCCAGTTCCATTGAAGCTTCCCAAGCTTTTTATTTATCTTTCTTTAAATGATAAAAAAATTGGTACATGGTTTTCTTAAAAAATAAAATACTGTTTGTTGAAATAATAGGGCTGCTTTTGACCTTGTCCATTTTGATTTCTTTTTAGTTTTTTGACTAATTCCTCCAATTAGCTATTCAACATGAAGCTTTGACTAAACACCTATGAATGTAGATTTGATGGAAATATCTTTGTTATTCTTTGGGCAAATTAGTTGAGAAAGAAAGAGAAATATAATGAAATAAATTAAGCCTGGGTTAAGATGATTGTTTATATGTAATACTTCAAGTCCACCGCTAGCTAACATTATCTTCTTTATGATTTCTCTTTTAAGTTTCCTCTCGAGATTCTTAAAACGTGCCACCTTTATAAAGAATTTTTTGTTCTCTCCCCTAATCGACATGAGATCTCACACTATCAAAATAAAACAAATTAGTGATGAAGTATTATTTTTTTAATATAACAAATAGAAATATAGGATAAATTATAATCATAAAGAATATAATTTTTTCACTTTTCAAAAAGTGAATTTTAATATTCTGTTAGCAAAGAAGCTAACAATCCACCAAAAACCTTATCTTATTCACACAAAACATAACAAAATCTCATCATAAATACAACTTACTCACATCAAGCACCCACAACATTTAATCTAACATTAAATTGATATTAAATTAATCTGAGAAATGCCCATTTAAAGGAGGATTAAATGCATTACAATTAATAATGTTGCATATGAAGTGCCCCATTCATATGGCATAAAGAGATGACGCATAAAAGCATATGGCATAAAGAGATTGGAACATGTAAAAGGGCATTTTTGGATGTGAAGCTTCCATTCAACACTTCCCACAATTTGCCTCTTTACAATCTTCTAAAGTTTAGGGAATATATTTATCTTCTTACATTATTACTAGGGCTACATATAATACTACAACCTTACTAATATTTTAACTCACTTTATGAGTTTAAACTATATTATAAAGAATATATGATTATGATTGCATTATACAATAAAGTTCATATACCTTATTATATATAATGTCGAATATGATCCCTTTTTCTTTTTTCTTTTTTCATGTGATAGTCCCGATGGCAATAAGGTATCATACAAGCCTCGTTCTTTTAATTAGTGAAGAGGATTTCCCTCCCAATTAAGACTAAAATATCCCACCAACCAACGCAAGTTTATCCAACATAAAAATCTTAACTATGAAGTCTCTATAATTGAGTTATCGAAGAGGAACGTGCATCTTGTGGGTGTAAGTTGTAACTTTTAATTCTTGCAAGTGTTTTTTAGTCATCCTATTATCAACATCGCTCTTATTCGAATGTGGTCTCGGTTCATTCATGTACTCTTTCTTTACTCGAGTGACTTAATCATTGCACACAAAGTTTCTTCTCCCGTTCCTCCATTTATGTTTAATATTTAATAGATTTTTTAATCTTATAAAATGTATATTAAAGATTTGACAAATAACACATAAAATCAAGATTGGAAGTTGTATATTACAACTTTTTAAACATTAAAGATGAACATAAAATTACAAAAATTAACCCACATTACCACTAATCTCATTTATTAAAACATATTTATTTTTCCAACACGAAAGCACATTTACCCTAAATTCAAATACTAACGTGGCATCTCTGAACCACCTGGTACTTCACGTTATACTCAACAATGGATCCGTCTCCAGACGGCGGACACCCATCGAACTTGATCACCACCGGGCAGTTCACGTGGAACTGATACCGACCACTGATAAAGTTTCCAACTTTCCAACGGACCCGCCCCTCAATTCTGACAAGCAACGGCAGCGCTCCGACGTCACGATCCTGATTCAGTGCCGTGCTGATGAAGGGCGCAACCGGGACGGCGGTGCCGGAGACGAAAGGGGACCATACGCTAACTTCCTTATGGCCTTGGTAAAACCGAGGGATGAGCGTGTGGAGAGTGATCTGTTGGTTCCGGTAAGTGGCGGACACGTGGAGGTCTTCGTAGTAGATTCCGATGCGGCGGTTGGGGTTGCGGGAAGAGATAGTGAGGAGGAAATTGGAGGTCAGGAAACTGGGGACGCTGGCGTTGAAGGCGTAGACGGTGACGTCTTGGAGGAGGAAAGTGGGCTTGGTGGGGCGGAGGACGGCCCAGATTATGAGGATGCAGAGGAGGAGGAGGAAGATTAAGATACCGACGACGGCGCCGATTAGGGTTAGGAGCTTAATGCGCTTTTTCTTGCAGTGCTTCTCGCAGTCGTATGCCATGACAACTGAATGGGTGTGGAAGTGAAGGAGAATGGATGGTATTTATATTTAAATCTACACCGTTCATTTCCAATCCGGCCCCACCACTGTTCTTTTTGTAATAAATTGAGAATGTTGTTACTTTAATTATCGCAATAATGATCTTAATGGATAGTATAATACATTGATTTGAAATTAATAATTGATTATTTGGTATGAACAATTATTAAAGTCCTTCAACAACTTACTAACTTTATAATTCAATCCACTTATTTTAAAACTAATTACAGTAACTAGCACTCTATAATTTGTTAATAATTTTGTTAATAATTCAAGTCATTTTGTCATTTTAGAAACAATGTTGATAGTTGGAAAATCCCAATTGGAGATCGAATTATGTGTAGGAAAAGAAAAAGAAATTATGAATGGATCATTATATTCTGAATAAAAATTTGGAGTTATGAGTTTATAGTGTTTTTTAATTGGAATGGAAGGTGGGGGTACAAAGTTGTTAATGAAAGCGATGAATTGTGAGAGGTAGAAATGAAAGAATGGATGTTTTTGGGGGCAATTGTTGTGTTACGAACCTATATTATATACAATCCAAACCGAAGAAGGCTCGTTAGAGAAGGGGAAACAGACATACAAAATTCTAAAACGAAGAAAAACAGAGACATTTCACCGAGGAATATTCTAGACGAGAACCTTACAAGTCTTGGATTGGGCGCCGGGGGAGTAGACGCCATCGGTGGTGTGTCCGGTGAAGACCAGCTTCAAATCCTCACAGAACACTCTGAGAATAACGCGCCTGGTCCACCCAGACCCGGAACCAGAACGGAAAGTGGTCCACGCAAGTAATCTCAAGGTGAAACTAACCGTTCCAGTGGTCCTCTCCCGCTCGAGCTTCTCCTCTGTTTGGGCCCAATTTCCGGGGTCATCTGGGCTACTGGATGTCATTTTAACCTGCATTTGCCTGCTTTTCTCCATGTCCAGAAAGAAAGGGTCGGAGAAGGAGGTTGCCACCGTGTTGTCACTGTAGTCCACGAAACTCCGGATCCGCTCGAAATGCAGGTTGAGTTTGTGGTTGGGATTTTGGACCGTTACTTTGATGTCCCAGATCCCGGAGTAGTTGGATTTGGAGATGTTGAAATTGGTGACGGAGAAGGAATCCACTTTGAAATTTGGGATTTCGGGGCGGAGGATGATCCAGGTGATAATGCTGGACATGGTCATTATAACCACCAAAAGGAGCAACGCCGCAAAAATGCCGCGGAGGAATCCAGCGCCCGCCGTCTCCTGTCGGTAGTATTGGGGATTGTTGTTGTTGTTGTTGCTATTGTAATAAGCGGCGGGAGGGGCCTGGGTGTAGGCGTAGGCGTTGTAAGGGGGGTAATTCCCTGGGGCCGGAGGGTACCCTGGATGTGGCGCTGGAGGATACCCCATGGCTGGAGGGTAGCCATGGGCGTGAGGAGGATACCCCAGGGTGGGTGGGGGGTAGATGGGAGGAGGGTTGTTTCCGGCGGAGGGCGGAAGCGGGGGAGGTGGGTCGGTGGGCTTGGATTGGGATTGGAAATGTTGTTGATCCACGGATGAAGAAGCCATTTGGAAGTGTCTCTGTTTATGAGTTTTCTCTCTCTCTATGGCCTGGAATTGGAGAGAGAGAGAGAGAGAGAGAGAGAGAGAGAGGGAGAGAAAAATGGGAAGGGAGAGGAGTTTGAGGGGGGAATTGGAGGAGTTAGAATATGGACATCCACCAAAGCTTTTCTTAGAAATATCACGTAACCTTCGGACCTTGTCATCTTCAACCTCTGTTTTCCAAACCATTACCAACGCGATAATATTGACCAAACTTTTCTTAACCTTTTTTTTCTCCTCTCTATAATTACATGTTTCAGTTTTCCACTAACCTTTTCACGAACACTAAAATTTATATTCTTTCCAATCTTTCAATATTCTTCTTATTTATAAATCTCTAAATATAGTATACAAATTTTAAAACAATATGAATATTTATCATCTTACATGCTATTTAGTCTAGTTTCATGTCGGTTAAAGACAAACAAAGATAGGTCTTAACCCCTTTTGTGCTCAATTTGAATGAAACATTATTTTCTTTCCCAGGTAAATACAAATATGAAGGAAAAATAAAGAAGATAGATCTTTGAAATGACTTGCAATTATAAAATACCCATATTCTTAATACCTTAAAAAGAAATCCAATATTTTATTGAAGGAAATCCCAATCCAATCCCCCAACATGACACTACACATGAAAGAACAGAAGGAGCGAATGGTCATTTTGAATTGGACTATAAGGCGAATAATAAATTCAGGCCAAAATACAAATAAAGAGGAGAAATTTAATTGGGAGGAAAACCAACAACAATATTAATAATAATTATATCAATATTGAAAAAGCAGACTCTTCTTCCACTCCCACATCGTTAAACAAAAAAAAAAAAAAAACTCTTTCCTCCTTTTGGTCAAAATAGTCTCACAATTTTAAAGAAAATATTAGGTGGATGGTGGACCAACCTGCTGATTCTCTGTGATCAACGGCTACGATCCTTCCTCCTGAAGGGCCATTTGTAAGCCAATGGAAGATTTTGGTACACTCTTCTTACGGTGTACTCGACTTCACACGAATAATTCCCCCCCCACCATTCCCTCTCCTTCCCCTCCACCTACTCTGTTACTTATTCACACGCACCGCACACAACGAGAAGACCAAAATAAGCTAATTCGGCTCGGATTCTTTTATGGGTCGGGCTATCGGACCAGCATGCGACCGGAATCCCGCCGTCACGGCATCGTTGGCGCAGCAGTGAAATCCGACTGCCGCCCCGGTCTCTTTCGCACTCAGGCAGTCACGGCAGGCCGTCGTCTTCGATTTCACACTACCGTTCCAGCTACCGTCTCCGTCTCCGCCCGCCGTCAGATTCCTTACCCCTACGCTCGTTGAGTAGTTTTCCCTCTCCAATTGCAGCTTCCGAATTCGCTCTTCGTAATCGTATCGGTCCATCGCCGGCGAGATGAAGCCGGAGAGCATTTTGTTTTCAATGCCAGCGTTTCGTCTCAACAGCATCACATTCTCCGGTGGATTCTTCTTATTCGGTTGATTCGTCTTTGCCTTCGTCTTCGTCGCTGACGGGAGGTAGTATTCGTCTTCGTTGTTGTCGGTGACCTTCCGCCTCCTCTCGCGTCTCGAACGTTTCAAAACAACAAGAAAGAAGCTGTTCTTCTCGCAGGAAATTGCGCCGAAGTTGACCTTCCCGGTGATGGGGATTCTCCGCCGAATCTTCGTCGAGAAATCCAGAGAGATCTTGTACTCGGCGAGGTAAACCGTGAATTGGTGCGAAGAGATGCCGATCATCTTACTCAAATCCGACTGAAAATTCTTGAAATCTGTCGAAGAAGAGACGATGACGGAACCGATGGGGACATCTTGCTCGCCGTCGTGGAAAACAATCGGGAACGAAACGCCTCCAGCGGTCTCCACCATCGCCGCTACAAGTGAATGAATTCTTGTTCAATTGCGGAACAGAAGAAAGAATCTCGTAAAGAAGGAAGAAGAAGAAAGAAGAAGAAAGAAGAAGAAGAGGGTTTTAGAGAGAAATCTTGAAGGAGGAGGCTATGGGGGCTTTTACAGAGTGGGTTTTAGGTTTTTATGGTAAGAAGGAGAAGGCGGTGAGGGTATTTTTGGAATAAAATATCAGATTTGGGGCTTTGGTACTAAGGAAGCAAAATAGAAGAACTTGGAAGGAAATTTCAAAACGCCAAAAGAGACTTGGGAATCAAGTAAACGGAAACGACAGCGTAATGGTTGCTTTGAGTGTGTTTGGACCAAATTGCCCCTCTTTTTCAATTGATGTCTCGTCAACGCCTCATTGGAGGGGGATTTCATCGTGTTGCTGTCTCTTCCGGCCTTCGTCTTCTTCTTCATCATCCATGGAGTTTCCTCCAGAAGGTTACAGAAGAAACGTTGGAATTTGTCTCTTTAATCCTTCTGGAAAAGTAATTTCTCTTCCCCTTCCTCGCCTTCTTCTTTCTCTCCCATCTGTTTTCTTCTGTTGATGATAATTGTTTTCTCTTTCGCAGATTTTTGCAGCTTCGAGGCTGAACAGGCCTGAAGTCTGGGAAATGCCTCAGGTAATTTCTATTCCGACGTATTTCGAACTTTGTTCATTGGGAAACAGGAAAGTATCGTCTCGCTGCTTTATTCCGTGCGAATTAGGGCACATAATTTATAGGTTCCATCTCTGATTTCTTTGTGGGAATATCCGGAAATTCTTTTGAAGGGCTCCTCAGATTTTCTTACACGCGAGTGAGAAATTCGAGGATCCTCTCAAGAGAAGGGGATTTGTGCAAAATTGAATCCATCTCTCTCGAATCTTCTCTTTGAACATATTCTTGGTGAAATCCTTGCAATGGCTGGAACATTTCAAGTGAAAAATCTTTCTATGCTGCTATGGTCTCTTTCCATTTGGGAACTGTATTACCTTTCAGAAATCTGTTTATGGTATTGATGGAAACATTGACAATTTTGTGTGTTTCTTATCTTTTCAATCATGAGACTGAGAGGTGTTAGAAATGATGTATTTTATCTACATCTGCATTGTATTGTATCCCTAAATGATATAGGCTTTATTACTGTCTTGCGGGGCTTGAAGGTAGTGGAGGATCCTTAGATTTGTTTTCCTTGAAAATGATTTGCCATCATACAGGGTGGTGTAAATGAAGGCGAAGATTTCACTACGGCAGCCAAGAGAGAACTCACTGAAGAAACTGGAGTAGTTTCTGCAGAAATTATTGCAGAGGTATGCATTTTGAGATGCCTCCAGCCTCTATATCTCGTTTTTCATTACATAGAAAAATGAAATCCAGCTTCATTGAAATCAGGACTGATTCGTTCTTTGGTTAAATATGTAGCTACCCTACTGGCTTACTTACGATTTCTCGCCCGAAACCAGCATCAAACTCAGCAAACACTGGGGAGTAAGATACAAAGGCCAAACCCAAAAGTGGTATTGTCACCTGAAAATCTGGCTTCTGTATCCTTTTGATGTTAAGGAACCTCCTTTTTAAAACGTGTCTCGACAGATTCGTGCTTTCTTGGTATAATCTTCTTGTTTATCATTAAAGAACCTATTGCGTGCGTATTTGGTAACTGTTTTCTTTTTTTCTTCCTCGAAAACTTGATCAATGTTTAAGGATTATGTGTTATCCCCTTCAAGCTTCCATGTTCATTTGATCGATCCTGAAGCTCGTGACAGGTTTCTGATGAAGTTCACCGGGAAAGAAGAAGAGATTAATCTTCTGGGTGATGGAACTGAAAGGCAAGAGTTTGGGGAGTGGTTATGGATGTCAATTGAACAGATAATGAACCAAGTGAGTAAATTTCTTGTTGCTTCATTCTTTGTCCTGCAATTTCTCTTACATTCTTATAATCGTTTGAACAGACTGCCGATGTCCGGAAGCCTGTTTATGCACAAGTGATGAAGGAATTTGGTAACTTCATACTTGGAAATGAGTGTGATGATGTTTCTTTTAAGCAGAGTGAAACCCAATTAGTTAGCTGAAGTGTTCAAATTCTGCCATGGGAAGAAGAAAATTTATATTCATTATTCATACCACAATCATTATACGTGTACCGTATGAATCACAGGTTCGTATAAAATGTTGTATTTTTGTATCTAACTCTTGTTGTTCAAATAAGAACGCCAAAATTTGAAGGTCCTGATAACTTTTGAGGTAAGGCAGAATATTTGATCCTTGTGGGATATGGACCATTGGTGGATTCATGTTCATATTTGAAATCTGAGGCAAAGATATGGGAATCAGAACCTTCACTAAATAATTTGTGCAGCTGTAAAAGGGTTTATTAGTCCAAATATGGGATTGTAAATGATTTCCACGAGCTTGATTTTGACGCTCTTCTGCTTTTACCTTCGCTTTCTTGCTTGTAAGGCCACGTTTGGGGGAATGTGGATGAAGACATTTTGATTTATAGAATGGAATCAGAACGTGGAATTCGCTTTTAAATGTGGGAGTTATTCTTTATTCTTTTCGAAGTGATAATTATTCATTGCCCAAAACCAAACCTTCAAATTTTGTTCTCTTTTCTTATTTTGGGATTATTATATACTTTACTATCTCGCCTATTCTTTTGTTCTTTTATACTCATTGTTACCAATAATCATTTTTGAAGGGAAAAGAATGCACTTTTAATTTTGGTTTAGGTCATGGGTTCAAATCATTCCAAGCAAACACTTTGAGATGTTAAGCTATATTTAAGAGTGTTTTAGAAGTAAGTGACGGGCTTAGATAAGATATTGTAAAAGAACCACTTGAGCAAATAATTGAAAATATAATTAACAAACATAATGTTCGAAAATTTGAATTTGATCGAAAGTCATTCTTAGATTTGTTATGCTATAAATTTTTTACAATTTAACCCTACTTTTAATAATATATGAAAACTATAAGGTTAGTTGGTTTAGAAAATTGAGGTAAAAAATTTGGGTGAATAATGTAATCGATATCCTAAGATTGCAACAATGGCAAAACCATATGGTGAAGATTTGAGAATATAACATTTTTCCTAGCCAAGAGGTGATGGAGAGCAGCTAAATTTGGTTATACTTGTCCCACATCGAAAAAGCGTAAGGAGTTGCTGCATGGGGGGCCTATAAAACTGATGGGAGAGGCACATTACAACATACTTACCTGGACGGGGTCAATGGGCGATCATGAAAGTCCATGGCCTAGATTGGTGACCTCCATTGCACTGTGGGAGGGGTGCCCGACTAAGGTCTGTCCAAAGTGGCGGAACCTACGTCATTATTTGTGGTAGCGGGGGCCTGCGTTCGCGCGGCCCCCTATCAATTTCCAGTCCAAAATTGATTTTTTCAATCGTTCGCGAGGCCCCCTTCCCCTCACTTTTCATATCCTCCTTTCCTACTTATTCTCCCTTCGTACCCTCCATGGTCACTGATATAGCCAGTGGGTTCATTTAGTATGCGTTCCAAGTCTGGCCATGGAACCGAATTTGAACAATTTGATTCCCTAGTTTCAGATTTGGAACCAAATCTCATTGTTTCAGACCAGGAACCAACCATGGAGGAGCTAAACCGTTCCAAATCCATTTTTTCAAATTTGGGTTCCATTCGAGTGGAAAGGACAACACACTAGTTCTAGAGGAAAAGAAAAGAAAAAGCCAAGCTTAAAGTTTTTAAATTGTATGATTCTTGATTATTCCTGTAATTAGAAGTCCAAGCTCTTTTGTATTGGTAACTAATATTGCATCAAGTATTGGTTCAAAGTATATCATATCCACAATTATATCACAATCTAATTTCTAATAGGATATATAATTTGCATTTGATACTAATTCATCTCATTTCTATTAATTCCTTTCTAATTCTTTGTTGCAAGTAAACAAGACTATACACCAATTAAAGTGCCCCATATTATTTTCATAAGCCATTCTCTATATCTATCGAATTAGCTTGATTTCAATATCCTCATATCAGAGTGTCGCTTTTATATGCCAATATAGATCTGGAGCCGACATATCTTGATGCCAATGCCATTCCAGAAGAAGTTGGCTGAGAGAATGCCAATTGAGAGCACTCGAGGGAACCTCCCTTGCAGAAGCTTTTCCTGCAGCATAGAGAAACAAGAATGAGATCTCACTTTGATGTGTAGTTTGCCCTCTCCAACGAATGGTGATCTTGTGTCAATTATGTAAGCTTTTGAAAAAGCAAATTCAAGCATCTAGATGTCTAATAATTTTAGCCCTTTCCAAAACAAAATCTGTTCAAACAATTCAATAAAACTAACTATAAAACTAACTATAGCATCCGTGTAACCGTCCAAGTTTACCACTAATAGATATGATTCGTTTTGGCCCACTACTTATAACCTCACGGTTTTAAAACAGGTCAATTAGGGAGAGTACATCTACTACCATGCATACTTCATTCCCCCTCTCCAACCAACCAAATTTATCAGGTAGTTTGTTGGGTTTCAGCAAGAAAAGATAATGATGTTGATGTGTTTATACTTTTTTACCTTGCAGCATCTAGCAATTGGGTGGCAATATGTTTTCTTCTGTTGGCAGGAGTAACCCAAATTGCACGAATTCCACAAACAGCAGGAACAGCTTCTTCTTCACATAAAATTACACCATTCAGGTTCACATCCAATGCCTCGGGATTATCAGTAGGTTTCTTCAAAATGGCTTCTCTCCGGAAACTGATGTTACCAAACTGCAAGGTTGTTGAATTTGGTTTTGAATCCTTCATCTTAGACTCTTCGGGTCTTTCGTCCAGAAAACATGAAACAACTTTATAAGCTTTCATTATTGGTTCTACAACCAGACATCCTACAATTCTTTGGGATGAAACAAACAGATAAACCTGCAGTTGGATGAGAAAATTAAGTGCAGAAACATGATGGTAAGGAATCACAGTACATGCAAAATGGAAGTCCGGATGAAATGGAAACATTGAGAACATGGAAAACAGATTTGATTTTTTACTCTGATAGCACAACGAATTAGAAGCCCAATTATGAAATTCAGATGAAAAAAAAGGCCGATTCTCTTTCTATCAATTGATGAATGTGTGCAAAAGAATCAATATGATCAAGAACTCTGAAATTGTCCAGTTTATAGTAAGTCAAGCACCTGGCAGTTCTTATGCAATATCCATCCATTTCCTAGCTCTTTTTCCATCATCTTGACCACCTCTTCAATCTGCCAGTAGAACAAAATTGATTAACATGAAGAAAAATGTTGGATTATCCCGCTATAACTTGATTTCACTAAGTATTTGACTTCAACAGTCCAAATTTAATGAGTTTGAACCTTGTTCCAGTGGGCAGAGGGGTCAGAATTGAACACCAACAAAATACGGCCGTCTTCAACAGTGGAAATATGGATAAGCCTTTCGTGAGACCATCCCTACCAGTGGTGCAAAAATGCAATTAGAAAGAGACGCAGAAACAAACCAGAGAAAGAAAAATAAAACGTTGGCTGCACCTTAAATTGGATTCCACATGTGTACTTCTTATGAAACGATTTATGATATTTTTCATCGGCTTCATCTCCACGAGCATATTTGATTCCACAGGTGGAACAAAAATGGAGTAAGAAATCAGACTGGCCAAAAAGTAAATGGTACTGAGCATAGCTTCTTTTCTTGTTCTTGACCACAGGTTTGGTCAATGAAACCAATTCATCTTTTGCAGGCGAATCACCTGGGATTGGAATATTTATCTCCGAGTCTACACATTGTGGACTTTTCACGATTCTTATAATATAAATTTTTAGAGTGACAGAACAACCAAAACGGATTTCATCAATAACAGCCAATTACAATTTCTGAGCGAAGGAGAAGAAGAAGATGAAGAATCTGGGAGATACCTATCGGAGCTCGGAGCTCTACGCTTATACGCGTTGACGTATTGATGCTCTGCTTTTTCCCAGATCTTCAATGCTCCATCGTCGCTGTCGTCGGCGTCTGTATTCAAGGGTTCCGGCGACTTGTGCGCTGAAATCGAAGGGCGGGGTTTGAAGAAGGCGCTGATTTTGGATTGCATGATTGGAAAGAAAATTGAAGATCTCAATTCCCACTTCAGGAATTCTGCATCTTTCCCTATGATTCTTAGAAACTGGCAGTTTTCCCGCCATCGGATTGCTGAAATTTTGGCTTCCCGCTCTTTTCTTTTAAATAATATGAAAATTCTCTAATAACAATCTTTTTTTTTTTTATCGTATTTATTACTATTTGCGTTCTAATAGGTTAAGAATTATTCACTTTGAATGGCATAAGCTCTCATGATTAGGGGACGTGGCACTCCCTCCTAATAATTCTCAACCTAACAAAATCAAAAGGTTGAATAATCGAAGTTAAACATGATTATTTAGATTCATGGATGAAGTTTGAAAGTTACGCTATTAATTATTTGTCGTTTTGGTAGAAGCATGACACGTATAATATTGCATTTATGAATTACTTTATTTTTTATAGATACAGTTGCGGAAACCACATTCACACAAATGACTCATAAGTCGCTGTCAAATTCTAAGACATACATACACGTCGTACATGGGACATGAGGTCCTCCATTAAGGCCACTGCTTTTTGTATGGCTCTCAAGGCTGCCCCTCTCAATACAAATATCTATTCACTATCAAAACCCAATGTGGCTCATAACTTACATACCCCATTTCAATCCTATCTTCTTCTTAAACATAATATGGAATTATGGAATATTCTCTTTCTTACAACCCCGCCATCCGCCTCACGATTTTAAAATGCCTATGATAGGGAGAGGTTTCCACACTCTTATTAGGAATGATTTGTCCATCTCTCCCGCCGACGTAGAATCTCACAATCCACTCCCTTGGGAGCCAATGAGGGTCGTCATCCTAGTTGGCTCGCCACCTAGTATCTGACTTTGATACCATTTATAACCGCCCAAATCCACTATTAGTAGATATTGTTCACTTTGACTCATTACATGTCACCGTCAACCTCACAGTTTTTAAAGGAGATGTTTTCACATTCGTATAAGGACTACTCTATTCTCCTCTCCTACTGATGTGAAATCTCACAATCTACCCTCCTTGCGGACCCAGAGTCCTCGCTAACACACTGCTCGATGTTTGGGTTTGACACAATTTCTAACGATCCAAGTCCATCGCTAACAAATATTGTATGCTTTGGCTCGTTATATATCGCCGTTAGCTTCACGATTTTCAAACGTATCGGGTAGAAAGAGGTTTCCACACCCTTATAAGGAATGCTTCGTTCCAATCCTTCCTAGAGAGAAACACAGATGTAATGAACTCAAAGATGCAAAAAGTGAAACCAGAGAACGTTGGAAGTCTGTTTCACAAGGAATATACAAACATGAAGTAAGAAGAAAAAAAGTAAGCACCCAGTGTGAAGGACACCATTGGTATCTATCTACATCCACATTATCAAAAACACCATAACCTTCACTTGAGATTGTCTCCAAATTTGACCCCACAGAGTAAAAGCAGAAAAGCAAGAGGGAAAGAGAAGCATCATCAAGGTGGTACCTCCTCCTTCAACGACCATCGACCGAAGTGAACGAATCTGCAAACCCAGTAGGCCTTGATGGTATGCTGCCCTTGCTGTCCTGCAGGTCCATGCAACTGAAATCACTCCCTTCTGATTCTTGCCATCCCTTCACCATTTGGTTAAGAGGTAGGCTATAGTCAATTCCAGAGAACTCCTCCGTGTCGTCCTCAATCGGCTTCCATTTCTCGACGAGTGGAGCCAGTACATTTACAGCATAACCCATATCAGGTCGTTGGGTAGGCTCCCTTGCAGTGCAATGACCAGCTAATTCAGCTATTCTGCAAATGGTTTCAGATATATCTTCTTTACAACCCAAGGTTGGATCCACAGCAGCCATCAGCTTCTCCTTGTCTGATTTTATGTGCCAGAACCACGCAGCTAGATGTTGACATTCTTCAGATCTATCTTCGTCGAGAGCCATTAATCCAGTCAGCAGCTCCATGAGCACAACGCCGAAACTAAACACGTCGGCTTTGGTAGTAAGTTTACCTGTTACTGTTTCAATGAAACCATGAAATAAGTTAGATACGAAACCATTGATTTTGATTTAATTAAGATTTCATGGATACAAATTTAAAAGCTTACCAGCATATTCTGGTGCTAAGTAACCAAATGTCCCTGCAAGCCTGGTTACTACAGATCTTTCACCATCAGGGGCTAGTTTAACCAGCCCGAAATCAGAAACTTTTGCTCTAAAATCGTCGTCAAGTAAGATATTCGAAGATTTGAGATCCCGGTGGATGAAGCTCTGATGCGCTAAACTATGA